GGTAGCAGCAGACTACAGTTAAAATCTGGCCTCCATTCAAGGTGATGTTTACAGTTAAGGGTTCAAACTGGTTTGGAAAGAAGACACATGACTAGAAACCAGAGAATCTCTAATGTAAATAATGACTCCATCCCCCCTTTTTTGACAATCACAGCGGTAGATGTTAAATCCATTGATTGCCACGTCATTATTGAGTACAGATTTGTTGAGCCAGGATTCAGAAATAAAGATAACATCTGCCCCAGAAGAACTGACCAGAATTTTCAAAGCATCAAGTTTTTTCAGAAGGCTACGAGCGTTTACATGCAGAAAATGAAGCCCAGACACGTTCTTAAAGTCATTTGGTGTGCTGTAATTAGTGGGGGGTCCAAGGTTGGGCTGAATCCCTGAGAGCAGTAACAACATTATTATCAGACATTTTCTTGAGTTTTTTGTGACTGATGTGTAATTACAGGAGTTAACAGTGTGACAATTAGCCCCCATGATCGAACCATGAGAAACATTAATGAAGATGTGATCATTCAGAACCCAAAAACAGTGAAAGTTGCAGTGATGAACAGATTCAGGTGTATTAACAAGATTCAGTGACTCCAGATAATCTGGGAACTGAAAATAGTGACAATAATATGAATGATGCAGAAAAGTTTCAGACCATAAAACGTCACAGTTCAAATGGGCAAACAAACCCGACGAGTTGGCCCAACTGCAGTTTGAGTTGGGCTGAGGGGGGCTCTGGCCCCCCAGTGAAGATGGATGGATGCTCCCATGGGAAACAGAAGCTGGGTCCAGAATCAACAAGATTAGGTTTTAGATTTAAGACCAATTGTTAGCAAGATTAACTCAGTCACTTACAATGTTTCCAAATATCTGGCGTCTGTACTCATCCCTTTAGTTGGCAGCTCAGAACACCACATACAGAACACCATGGACTTTGTGGATAAGGTGAGGGATGTCATCATGGAGACTGTTGAAACAATGGTTTCTTTTGATGTCACATCACTCTTTACGTGCATTCCTGTTGATGATGCAGTAGAGGTGGTCAGTTTAAGATTAAAACCAGACACCACTCTGAGCAGCAGGACCACGCTTTCCACAGAACAACAGTGTCAACCCTTGAAACTGTGCAAGCAGTCAACCTACTTCACATATGGGAGCAATATTATAGGCAGAAACATGGGTGTGCTATGGAGTCTCCAGTTTCTCCTATTGTTGCCAACCTGTACATGGAGGAGGTAGAAAAGAGAGCCTTGACATCCTTTTCAGGGACACCACCAAGTCATTGGTTCAGGTATGTTGATGACACCTGGGTTAAAATTAAATCTCAGGAAGTCCAACATTTTACTGACCACATCAACTCTGTGGATAAATACATCAAGTTCACACAATAATATGTAAAACATGGCAGTTTGGCTTTCTTCGACTGTGAGGTCTCAGTCTCTGATAGAGGACAAACTGAGGTGTACAGCAAACCCACCCACACAGACTAGTATTTGCAGTTTGACTCCCATCACCCTTTGGAGCACAAGTTAGGAGTCATCAGGACTCTGTACCACAGTGCAGGCAGCATCCCCACTAACTCAAGAGCCAGGCAGAAGGAGAAATCCCACACAAGACAGGCTCTAGAGCAATGTGGATATCCTAACTGGGCCTTCCTGAAAGCAGAGAAGAAACCCAAACAGGACTCCAGTCAGCCATCATGTGAAAAGGAGGAACCCAGACCAGTGGTCATTCCGTATGTTGAGGGAATATCAGAGAAACTGAGACGTTTATTTTTTGAACACAACGTCCCAATGGCTTTTAAACCCCAAAATACATTACGGCAAAGACTGGTTCATCCCAAAGATCCAGTCCCCCGGCACAAACAGAGTAATATTGTGTATGCTGTTCAGTGTCAGGAGGGCTGTGATCAGCCTTACATCGGGGAAACTAAACAGCCACTGGCCAAAAGGATGGCCCAGCACAAAAGATCAACATCATCAGGCCAGGATTCTGCGGTCTACACTCATCTCCATGCCAGCGGTCACTCGTTCAGTGATGAAGATGTTCACATCCTGGATAGAGAGGAACGATGGTTTGAGAAAGGAGTAAAGGAGGCCATCTTTGTGAAAAGAAATCATCCATCATTAAACAGGGGTGGAGGCCTCGGTGTTCAACTGTCCCCCTCTTACAATGCTGTTAAATGGTAAATGCACTGTACTTATATAGTGCCTTTCTATCTTATTTCAAAATACTCAAAGCGCTTTACACTACAATCTGTGTCCTCATTTACCCATTCATACAGCACTCTACATCTCTACAAAGCTAATTGAACAAATCATTCTAAAGAGACTAATCAGTGCTTTAGATCACATTCATACACTGATGGGACACACATCAGAGGCTATGAGGGGTTCAGTGTCTTGCCCAGGGACACTTTGACATGTGACTGCTGGTGGATTCGAACCTCCAACTCTCGCATTGGAGGACGACTGCTCTAACCACTCAGCCACAGCCGCCCCTAGTTATTGCTAGTATCACTCAACCCCCTGTGAATAGTAAACAGCCATCAGGGTGCTAAGATCCATTGTTAGGCTGATGGTCCTTCTTGATCATGTGAGCAGCTGGTTTTGGTTGTCAGCAGCAAACTGGTTGATCCACTCTGAGAAGGTGCCTATTTATAAGACTGAGCTGAATACAGCACCTCAGACTGAGGTTTCTACATTTTTTGTTGTTGTTGTTTTGCTTTGTTTTGTTTTTTGAATGTCCAGAGGACCAGCATAGCCTCTGTTGTTGTTTTTTTGCTACTCCACAATAACTTTTAAATAAAAACAAGCATACCTTGATGTTGCCTGCCATCTTGCATGACAAAGTTTTAAAACATAATCTTGTGCCATCAGTTTGCGTTAAGTTTGCATTGAGAATAACTCATACTGACTATTACACCAAGCTTTAGCTCAATATCTGTAAAACTGACTACATTGTAGCTGTATTTGGACCATTAAGGTCAAATAAATGTAGTAGCCATCTTGGATTGGACTGACTCTAAAAGGTAATCACTTATAAACATACATTCAGTTGTCACATTCTACATCCAGTAATTTATTAGATATTTTCCTGACAAACATTAATGACTATTACTGAAATTACTTTGTATTACTAACGTTTTAAGCAAAAAATGGCACTGTGTGCGGCACGCAGTGTGTGTGCAAAACATCCAATCCCTAACTGCTCCCCGGGCACTTACATAGCTGACCACTGCTTTGTCTGTGTGTATCTCAGGTGGGTTAAATGCAGAGAATCAATTTCATCATAGTATAGAAGCATACAATGTGGACAACACTTTCTTTTCTTTCTTTCTTTCTTTCTGCGTTGCATGCTGGGAGTGTGTTGGTGCGGCTGCATGTGGTGAGTCTGATAAAGAGTGGAAGAGTTGTCTCTAAAAGCTATTTTTCTTATATTTTCTTTTATGTATTGACTTTCTAATATTCTTTATTCACACTGGTTCTTTATTTTGGGGTTAGTTTTTTAACTTTCAGCGCTTACAGCGCTGATTGTTTGCGGGGATGGCGTCTTCAGGGACGCCACACCTCTCCCTGAGGAACGGGGTTCGGCTTCAGCCCGACCCGTCAGTCCCAGTTGAGACGGTCCTCCTGGCGGTTGGCGAGATTGTTGGTCACATTAATTTAGTTTATGCCTCGAGAATGAACAAGGGTGTGGTGATATTTTTGAAAGAGGAGCGTTTTGTGACTCAGCTGATTGTCAGCGGGGTGACAGTGGGTGGGGAGTACCTGCAGGTGTCTCCTCTCGCGGTGCCCTCCACGCGGGTTATTATCTCAGGTGTGCCGCCGTTCATTCCTAATGACGCGCTGGAGAAAGAGCTCCTGCGCTTTGGGAAGCTCGCCAGTGGCTTCAAAACTGTGGGTTTGGGCTGTAAGAACGAAAAACTGAAACACGTCCAGTCCTTCAGGAGGCAGGTGTTCATGTTCCTGTCTGCCACGCAGACGCTGGACGTGTCCTTCAGAGTCAGACACGGAGAAGGGTCCTACATGGTTTACGCGAGCACCGGAAACATGAAGTGTTTCGAGTGCGGGGATGTTGGGCATAAACGGGACGCCTGCCCGCACAAAAACGCAGAAATGCAGGTTGAAATGAGCCAGGATACGGAGGCATCACGGACAGCTGATCCTCCTCCGGCTGAGGAGGGGAAAACGGCCCCCCCGTCAGCTGGCTCTGATGCCCGGGAGGGAAGCAGCGGTCAAAATAAACAGCCTGCACGGGAGGACACTGAGACAAATGAAATAAATGTTTCAAAAGTTTCCTCAAACTCTGGTCATGTTGACACAGAAAAAGATCTGACAGCTGATTCTAACTCTGTTGCTGCTGAAGCAGAAGCAGAGCAGCTGCCCGCGGGTGGGGGCACGGTGGCCCCGCCCCCCGCGGGTGAAGGTGCAGCCGCCTCACCTGCAGCTGAAGCTGAACAGGCAGAGAACATGGAGGAAGACAGCGACTCAGACAGCGTTTCCATCACAGACTCACAAACATCCAGCAGTGATTTGTACACTCTGGAGGAAATCAATGATTTTCTTGATGAAAATTATGGAAAACAGGTTAAAATTCTTGATTATTTTCCCGATGCGGAAAAGTTTATCAGGAGCGCTCTGATGGTTCAGAAAACGGTAGATTTCGAAATGCTTGATGAAAAGAAACGTTTTCGTTTAAAGAAGCATATGACAAACCTCCGGAGACAGATGTTAACAAATAAAGGAAAAGGCTCAAAACGATTAAAAGTTCAGAAATAAGACTATGATTATAGCACACTGGGTGGTCTTCTTTTTACTGTCTCTGTCTGTCTTCCCTCTTCTTTTCACCTCTATGCATAATATCAGGGTGGGGTCTTTAAACATTAATGGGGGGAGGGATCCACAGAAAAAGATGGTTATTTTAGAGATGATCGCTCAAAAGAAGCTTGATGTGGTGTTTTTACAGGAGACACACACAGATCATGAAAATGAGGTAGAATGGGGGATGAGTTGGAAAGGAAAATATTTTTTGTCCCATGGGACCAGGTCATCTGCTGGTGTAGCTATTTTATTTTCACCAGCTCTGGATGCTAATATCATTTCCTGTACTGAGTTAGTCCCAGGCAGGGTCCTGGTGGTTAGAGTAGAGATAGAAAGTTTATGTTTCTGGTTCATTAATGTCTACGCACCAAACCAGGGAGATAACAGGATTAAGACTTTTGAAAAAATACATAATTTTTTTAATCAGTCTAATCAAAACGTATGTGTTGTGATGGGAGGGGATTGGAACTGCACTACCAGCTTTACAACAGATAGAACAGGAGAAGAACCTCATCCTCCATCATCCTTTAAATTAGCTCAGGTGACATCAGAGCTTAATTTGGTTGATGCTTGGAGGATTAAACACCCTCAAGCTAAACAGTATACGTGGGTAAAAATGACGGATGGGACAGTGAGTGGGGCTAGGTTGGACAGATTTTATATCTCAAAAAATCATAGAAATAGATTATCCAATTGTTTAATTTGTCCAGTTGGTTTCTCTGATCATCATTTAGTTTACTTGGATTTTCATTTTTCAAACACCACTAGAGGCAGATCTTATTGGCATTTTAACACTAAACTACTTCAAGATACCTTTTTTTGCCAAAGCTTTAATACTTTCTGGCAGTTATGGCAGGAAAGAAAATCATCATTTTCATCCTTATCTGATTGGTGGGAGGTTGGAAAGGCTAAGATAAGAGTTTTTTGTCAACAATACACAAGTCATTCTACAGCTAAAATTAAAAATGTGATTCAGAATCTAGAAAATGAAATACAGCAGTTAGAAAACAATACTTTCACAGATGTTATTAATAATGACCGTCTTAAACAAAAGAAAGATCAGTTAAGTTGTTTTTTACATGAAAGGGCTAAAGGGGCTTTAGTTAGGTCAAGGTTTGCCTCTGTTAGGGATATGGATGCCCCGACATCTTTCTTCTTTAATTTGGAGAGGAACGTCAGCCAGACAAAGCAGTTGGTTTGCCTCCAGCTTCCAGATGGGACTCGGACCACCGATCCCAGTGCCATGAAGGAGCACGCTGTGGAATTCTACAGTGACCTCTATAAGCAGCAGACGTGTAACAGAAGCTGCATGGATGCCCTGCTGGATGGTCTTCCTCAGCTGAACGATGCAGATCGGGCGATTCTGGATGCTGGAGTTTCACTGGAAGAACTGACTGCCGCTGTTGGACAAATGGCTCCTGGCAAGACTCCAGGGCTGGATGGTATACCTGTGGACTTTTATAAACATTTCTGGACTCTGTTGGGAGAGGACTTGTGGGAGGTGCTTCAGGAGTGCACATTAACAGGTATCTTGCCATCGTCCTGCCGACAAGCTGTTCTTTCCCTTCTTCCCAAAAAAGGAGACTTGACTCTGCTGAAGAACTGGAGGCCCGTTTCCCTTCTCTGTGCGGATTATAAGTTATTTTCTAAAGTGCTTTCGAATAGGTTGAAGAACTTCCTTGAACTTATCATACACAGAGATCAATCATACTGTGTTCCTGTCAGATCCATCATGGACAATCTTTTTCTTTTAAGAGACTTGTTTGACATTTGTAAATGTTATGAAATTGATGTGGGTATTATTTCCTTAGACCAGGAGAAGGCCTTTGATAGGGTTGATCATTGTTTTCTCTTTTCTACATTAAGAGCTTTTGGGTTTGGTGAAGGGTTTATTTCTTTATTGGGTTTATTGTATAATGAAGTGTTTTGTATTGCTAAAGTAGGGGGAGGTTTAAGTTGTCCTGTCAAGGTCCAGAGAGGCATTCGTCAAGGGTGTCCTATATCTGGACAGCTGTATTCAATTGCAGTTGAACCACTTTTACACAAAGTACGTTCTACCCTTACTGGTGTTATTTTTCCGGGTTTGTCTATTCATCCAGGGTTAGTAGTTTCTGCTTACGCTGATGATATAAACATTTTTATTAAAGACCAGGACGATGTCATAGGTCTTCAACACTGCTTGGAACTTTATGAAAAAGCATCTTCAGCTAAGGTGAACTGGGAAAAAAGCTCTGCTTTAAAAGTTGGCCCTTGGACAAATAACAATCTGCCCATATTACCAGGTAATATTCACTGGGTTAACCAAGGGTTAAAATTCTTGGGTGTGTTTTTGGGGACAGATACTTTTTTGGAAAAAAATTGGGAGGGTGTCATGGAGAAAGTGTGTGCCAGATTTTCTAAGTGGAAATGGCTGCTGCCTCAGCTGTCTTACAGGGGAAGGGTTCTGGTGGCTAATAACTTGGTTGCTTTGGCCCTCTGGCACAAACTGACTGTTCTAACACCGCCTGCTTCTCTCATACATCGTATCCAGAAAACTCTTGTGGATTTCTTCTGGTCTGGACGACACTGGGTGAAAGCTGCAGCCTTGTACCTACCGGTGGAAGAGGGAGGACAAGGACTCATAGACATAACCTCACGGATCGCGGCTTTCAGGCTTCAAACACTGCAAAAACTACTATACGGAGTTGGACTACCATGGCTGGATACTGCACGTCTTCTGCTAAGGAAAGCAGGACGTCTTGGCTATGACAAACATCTGTTTTTGCTGCGACAAGGATCTTTGGACCTAACAGGCCTTGCACCATTTTACCGTTCAGTTTTAAATGCTTGGCAGGTCCTCACCTTTGAGAGAAAGACTGTTTTGACACCTGGAATGTGGGTTTTTGAGGAACCTCTGTTTGAAAACAGTTTCTTCTCATCACAGCTGCTCTCATCTGCTACAATGAGAGCTAAGATGAGAGACGCGGGCTGTGTGAAGCTGGGTCATTTAATGAAGCTGTCTGCGTCCAGTCTCAT